TTGTAACCAAATAATATCGCGCCATGGCTCCAACTGCTTGGTCGAATGGAGTTCGGCTTAGGGATTCTCTTTTTGAAGTGCGAAGGCAGGATTACTTGTGCCAGTTCGCAATGTTCTGTCTGTTCCGAGAGTCCAATGCACTTGCAAGCAGGGGGGCCATTGTCTAGGCAGTTGCACCAAATCAAATTGCGGGTCAGTCGGACCGGTCTACTATGTGGATTTCCAAACCGATCGATGATATTTGTAAGATCATACCCACTGACTGCAAGGTAAGATTTACCTTCTGGCAATGTGCTCCAATATGGGCATAGTTGGTGGTTATCAACCGGGCGAATAATCTCACCAAACCCCGTCCCAAATAGCACTGCCGCACGAATATCTCTGGTAAAGTCAACCCAGCTTTTCCCTCTGATCCCCAACTTACAAAGCCGAGGATACAACGGGTCTTCCTGGGTCGCTATATCCTTGAAATCCCATCCTTCCAGGTTTCCCCGAGACATATTGAGTGACGCTCCGCCGCCTGCCCTCATGATATCTGCTTGATGATCCATGATCTTCTCGAGCATGTTATACAAACGATCGACTCTATCTTGAATCCGTACTGGAGGTAGAGTTGCCTCACTTGGTTCGCTCTGTTTTGCGTGGTACAGTTTCAGACTAAGGTTATCAGGGTTCAACAAGACCTCCATTGCAGAGCTTGGGTTGAATGTGTTCTCTGGGACTTTAATGTCGGTAAGATCTAACTGGAATGCAAAGCCGAGTGGATCCGTTCTGTTGAAATATAGGGAGGCAAAAAGAAGGTGCAATAGAGCGCAGGCTCCATTCACCAACCACCCCCTTTTGGCTCCTGCATCCCACATTACCACGTATTGTCTGGCAATCCACGAGAGCTTTTCAATGTACTCATCCCGAATTAGTCGATACGGTATATCTCTATTGCCATATATTGCCGGGTCACCGCCTGTGATTAGCCTGCCTGCCGTGATCAATGTGTTTTTCAAGCTGCAGCGAGCGGACGGTGGCCCCAACCAAGACCGATTGATCGAATAACTAGCATCTGTCGCTCCTTGTGGCAAGTCAGCTTGTGAAACCCTTCTCCACCCCTAGAATCATGCTATGACATACCGGCATAGTATTTTGCGTCAGAACACCAACCAAGAATATGTCGGCTCGACTCCAAATCGGCTAGTGTGATGTGTCCGACATGAGCCCCAATGCCATCCAGATACGAAATGCGATCTCCATGCACATTATAACGAAGGTGCCACATCATCTGATCCTGATCTTGGATGTACTCTGTCGGAATCAATAAGCTAGAAAATCCTTTGATGAATAGCTTATCTTTAAAAACATCCACCTGCGTTGCTTGGGCTAGACCCGCCAAAATGTTGAGCGGGATTTCAAGGCCAGTATTTTGTCTGGAGCGGTATGGTATTGGGAAGCCCATCACCACTGTGGGGTTTCGGAACAAGTGATGCCAGCATTGTCCCAGGAGCGGCGACGAGCTCGCTTGCTCCTGATCCTCACACTTGAAATCAATACAGCATAATACCCGTGTGATAGCTGCTGCTTGTGGATTTGGGTTCGATGCGTCTTTATAACTCATACCCGGGTATTCCTGTCTACTAGCCCGGGCGAACTGAAGCTTCAAAGCTCGAATCTCTTCTTGTTTCAAAGCCACATTCCGTCGGTGTTCCCCCTTGACTTTCAACTCGGCCACTTGGTGCTCCAGCCGTTCAATGTGGTCCTTGGTCCGCTGACGAATGGTTCTTTGGGCTTCCCAATCGTTGGAGCGCTTCCTCTCCAGCCGTTCGGCAGATAGCGACGTCACATTACGAGTCCCAGCACGGGACTCGCGCTTTTTGACCTGGGGGGGTTCTGGAGAAGGGCTGGCGCTGTTGATGAACGGTGTGCAGTACAATATCCTAGAGTTGTGGGGCGAGGAACGGAGAGCAGAGCCCAGCCACGCAAGTTGTTCCCCAATCTCTGTAATTGAACTCTCTATCCCAGTGACTTCAACTAGAAACTCCTTTTCATTCGTCCAAGCCGCGAGTTGTGTATTGTCTGGCAGTGTACCTATAGACATGATAAGCATCCGCGGGTACCAATGGGAGAAAAGCGTACGGCTGTGTTTATAATCATGCTCACTAAGCAGTGTAGCCTCGACTAGCTGAAGGATATCGGCACCATGTGAATGCCATGTTTGCTGAAGGTATTGCAAGCAAGTCATTGCTTGAGCATCCTCACTGGACCCTGTAATCGTGATTATCTTCCCAAGGAAGCCTTCTTCACTTATGTCATACTCCTGCTCTGCGATGAAAGACGCGGGATCCCAATTGAGAAGGAATACTACCTGATATATTGTTGGCTGGTCATATCGACTGACTCTTCGGGATGACGGGAGGATCTCCAGGATTCGGTCGCGAATATCATCTTGAATATTTGGCTCTGCTGGGTGCAGGTGAAGTTTCCTCCGAAGACTTCCAATTAGCCATTCATACACTGGGCTGGTGGTGATCAAGTCCCAATATTTCGTATGTTCAGGGAGATTTTCATCACCATCTTCAATTGGTATATCTTCGTCAACGTCTGTATTCACTGCCCCACTGTCGAATTGTGGAATGGCAAAATAATGACCTGCGTCCTCTAGATGTTGATCCCAGAGGTCCATGAGGTCGCCTAATTCCATTTTGGTGTCGTCATGTGTGGACACGTAGGTTTCAGTCTGATCTTCTAGGTACTTCATTCTCAATGCATTCACAATTTCACTGCCAGGCCACTTTATCAGTTTCTACATGGAGGCGACGCCAAGTCTTGGGGAAAGACTAACTTTCTATGTCGACGGATGAATACCATGATATCCCTGTGTATCTGAGTCGAGCCTATTTGACCAAATCTCATTGCAAAAGCTTTCAGAAGTTGAGGAAGAATACCGTGAATTCTTTCCCGAAGGTTTCGGGTATCTTGATCATACTGGGCTTTTCTGAACAAATCATTGACCAATTCGGAAATATAGATTTGCTTATCCGAAGGGGAAATGCTAGACTTAGTTGTATAAATAGATTCAGTGTCTTCGCCGTGGTCGTCCTCTGCCTTTCTCGGGCTAGCTGCCGCCGAAAAGGGGAATATCTCTTCGCCAGACACTAAGCTTTGAACATTATGAATATGTTCTGTGTGATATACATCTCGGCGTGGAATCTTTTGATGGGTAGTAGATGCATATCCAGAATCCGTTGGCGGCACACTGAGGGTACTTTCCCTTAGTCCACTCCATTCCGGGGTTGGATTGCTATCTCCCCTCTTATTGATGCCTCTTGCTTGGGGTGGCGGAAACATCATAGAAAGGGGTGGAGACGCTACACATGGTTAGGATGTTTAGTGGCGCATTCCTGAAATAGTGTACGTTGAGTCGAGATATCTCACCGGAGTGTGTTGTTTGTGGAGCTGGAACCATCAATAGAAGCTCCTTTGCATAGGCCGCTGCCGCAGCTGCTGCATATTGTTGCCATGCCTTGTTTGTGTGAGAGTCTGCATAGTCACAGATGCCCCGAATGACCAGGCTTGGAAAGATACCCATGAGACCTGTGGTCCCCACATCGATACAGAGGACTCCTAGCTCCTGGCCTATATGATCTCGAAGTTGGCTATTTTTCATCACTTGATCCCCAGACGCAATGGATCCATAGTGGATGACAGGCTCATCCTGCTCTCGTTCAGGTCGTATTATCAACGTGGATCGATCGCAATTCGCACACGAACCAGGTGCGATATGTTCATATTCAGCTTGAAATAGACAGTCCTCTTCTGGTCTCAAGGACTTGCCGAAAGGAGACATTTTCCTTTGAATATCAGCCATATTCTTGGCGATTTGACGCCCCATAAGCCCCCTAAGGCCGTGATCGGTTTGGAGGGTAGCTAAAGTATTTGACAGATATTCAGGGATCTCACTCAGCGGTCCGGTCCGGAAGAAATATTTCCTGCTTGATGCTCTATCAAGATCGTACCTGATCACCCCTCCAGATTTGCCTGTTAGCTGGCTCACTACAACATCGCCTAATCGAATATCGGCGCTGCTCCTTGGTACGCCACCTCCAATACCGACTGCAAGAGAAAAGCGGATGGCAGGAAAAGTCGAGAACATCTCCCTTTCCAAAGCTGCAATTGCCTGAGTATCACCGCACCTACTCCACGGTAAACGAGCAATAACGATGTTGTAAATTCCAATTCTTCCAAGGATAACCCGATCTATAGCCGAAAAATTTTCCGACATTTGTAGATGTAATTCATCCAACATCATTGACGCAACTGCTGTATCCAGAGGCGAGCCGCATATCCACCCGACGGTGTACTCATCGTGGCGTGGGGTTATATCGTGGTCCTGTTGATGGAGAGTGTGCACGTCGCTTTTTGATGAATTTGTGGACATCTTCTGTACGGCGGATGGCTGTCAGACCACGAAGCACAAGCGAGGAGAGAATCAGGAAGGATAGAGAGATCAGTTTATCTCTCTCCTCTTCTAGTCCCACTTGGGAGATAGAATTGTAGTAATAAGAAGGGGAGGAAGATGGGCTGTACAATGATCCGACTCTTGACATAGAAGAGGCTACAACGGAAGAGGTGGTGGAATGGCCGTCACTTTGGGCAAGAGTGGGCGGGGTTAAGAGCGAGGCTGAGCTTTATCCCGATTCAACTGCCTAAATTTCTCCCAAGGCTGAAAGAGACGAGACATTCATCCTATATAAACTGGATTAATATTCTGCATACACAAATCGACCATTGCTCCTAGGATGGTTCTCGCCGGATTTCTATGTAATTTATATACCGCTTTCGCATCGTCTAGAAATATGATATCTACGATACCCTTCTCCTTCCTGGAAGCTGGTCTTGCTGCTTGGCGCCTCGCGCGCAAAACGCCAGCCAGCTGGCCGTAGCGCCTCCCAAAATGATTCAGAGCTGACTGTCTCAGCCTTGCAGAAATACGCACACATTTCTTTACCTAGCTAAGCTTTGTCGTGGTCCTTGTACATTTCTGCCAGCCAATCATCATCATAACACGCTTCTAGCTGCTTCTTCCATGCTTCTTTATTGGACTTGACTTGACTGAGAATTTTCTTGATGTTTGGGTACGTAGAGAATTTGTCCTACAAAGGTTATCAGCTCTGCTCCAACCAGCGTGGAGACCAAAGACGTACAGGTAAAGCATCCCATACTTTAGGATGTGGACCTCGGTTCTTGAATGTTCCACAGCCACTTCGCGCATACTCGGTGAACAGGAGAGATCGGCTACTTTCGACCATGAAAGTCATTTGATCTGTGCAGTCAGCAATTTGCCCCAAAGTACATCTAGGGCTATTAACCTACTTTCTAAAACTCTCCGTGGATCGTTCATCTGGTTGCGTATTTCACGCACATAGTCATCGCTGAAGTTGCCATGTGGTGTATGGCTGACCTCAACACTACCTCCACCAGGCGACCTCAGAGCGTCCGAGTCCGCTTCCATACAGACACGCAAGAAACTCTGTTGCCGAGTTACGGTGAAAATACGGAGGACGAAACGTGTTGGACGCCACATCCCATCGTGGCCCAAACCATAGAAAGTCAGCTAATGGCGTGACTGGATCTCTAGATGGGGCAGTCAGTACGCAATTCACGGACGGGTCGGTGTGATCGATAGAGGTTGCATTTTGGGACGCGAATTTGGTCAGATCGTACTGTAGGGGACCGTCAGTATTCATTTTCACCGTCGTCCCACAAGGTAATTGTTGCATACCTTGTAGGGAACGACATTTCCATGCCATGCTACCAAATCAAAAGGACTGTGATCCTGCTCAATGATGCTATATCGACCATTTGCCTTGTTGACAACCTCCCAGTCTTCATGGAGGTTCTCGTCAATGTGGGCTACAGGGTGGAGAAAGTCTCGTGGATTTGCTAGTCCATGACCACCCAAGGGACCCAAATCAGGTAACTCCCAGCGAGAACCCCATACCTCGATGATGTACCCACGAGCCACATCATGCTCGTGACCTAGGCAGACAGCGAAGCGAATTCCACGCGGGACCACACAGATTTCACCTGGTTCCAGGAACAGCATCCCCATCTCCGTTTGTATGTCGAGGATTCCTTGTTGAGCCACGATTAGAAAGTCACCGTCCGTATTACAATATGCTCGGTGGTCCATATTTGCATTTATCATGAAGACATAGAGTGCAATGCCTTCTCGCAGATTTGGATCTCCACTTCCCCCAAGGGTGTGCAAACCATCTACAAAGTCAATCTTCTCGTCATCGTTGGGAAGAGGAAACGGTGCCCATTCAGTCTGACCAGCAAGCGTTATCACCTTAGGATTGAGTGTAAGGAAGCAGTTCTCGATGTCTGATTTGTGTTCATATGCTTCCCTATAGCCATCTTCACGACGTCAGGAACATCGGTTCGGCATGAAAACAGAGAGGAATACATACTGTGTGCAGCTGCTGGCCTCACCCGGTACATATAAGTGCTAAAGTTGGCATGTCTTGAGGCTGTGAAGGCAGAGTACGTAAGGCTTCAGTGTATAGACCAAACCGCGGCTCTTGTGGGTTATTTTGACCAGCTGGTAAGGTCCCTGGGATGACCTCTGACTGAAAGCGGTTCCCAAACCCAGCCATGTATTCGTATGGATCATTGTCGCGGGTAGGCTTCCGAGTCATGGTGTCTGTGTAGTGGAACACTTTAGTCAGGTCTTTGATGGGTTTTCGTTGATTGGATGTGGGTGCCTGCATTGTGGAAGAAGTATGGGACCAGAAGAAGCTAATAAAGCTGTAATAATGAATCGATGGATCAAGATTTGTGTGACTGAAGTTGTATAGATACAGCAGCAGCAACAAAAGAGAGTCTTTAAGTATATGATGGCAATAGTAGCTGATTAACATGATTGAGACATACGTCAATGCATAACCTGAGGGTTTGAATAGGCCCCTCATGATCCCATGATAGCTTTGGACGTCCAAATGATGGGGTATGTGGAGCAAGTCAGCATATTGGGGGCTAGCTGATGAGCTGTGGGTATCCGTTGCTCTTGAGCAAAGACCCACATGGCTGACAGCGAGGTTGAACCAGTTTCATGGAAATTTGAGAGTGTCAAAGATCCCATAGATAATCCAAGGGTATTGACTATCATCTGTCCCCGCATGAAGGGAAGCTTCTTCCCCATAATCCACTCCTCCAATGCGGGGCTACCGACTACGTATGTGGAGCCATTCCACGATGGCAACTGGGGGTATGAGACCGTACCAATTAAGCTTATTTTTGGTAGTGGGTGTTATGGGGCATAGCTAAAGGTGTTTATTGCATGGTGCGCAGTCTACGCCATAAGTATGATCCAGATAGTAATACACACATATGAACTGAGGGATACGCCTCTAATCAAGAGCAAGAACATCTTCCACCATTCTCATCGTCTCATGACGTAGACGCTCCATGTCCAGCTTCGACTCACGATATTTCTGAGTTACTCTCTTGCGAGCGCGGCTTCGGCTTCCACGCACCGCTTGACGTATGCTTCATAGTCGAATACTTTGCATTTTTCTTCAGTTCCTAAAAGTGCCCGGAAGGCTCCTGAATCAGTTTTACTAACAGATCCGATGGAACTTCGAGACACAACATGGGAGATGGTGATTCGCGGACGTGGGGCGCGGCATATCTGTCCAAATAGGGATGCTGACATCTTGAGGAAGTAAAATGAGTTGGGCTATGAGTTGGCTTCAGTAAATTGTAATATGTGAGATCTGTATTGGCTTCCTCATGGGCCATGAATGTATGAGTAGCCGAGTCGTCCCTGTGGATAGAGCGGAGGTATCTGGAAATCCCCGCAGATGCTCGGGGACAGCCCCGCAAGAAATGTGGGGTTTTACATATGCCTTCATGCCTTCGGTCTCTCAGTTTCTGTATACTATGGTGCAACATAAGGTCTGATGGAAAATTTATCTAACTAATATTGTGAAGCTTATCTGATGGAGGTCAAGCCAAGTTAGTGGTTGACAAACCTCCCACAATGATGCGTAGTTCATGGCAGTAGGCAATAGAGATCTGGCGAGCACTGACATGTTTGCACAGCATAGTAATAGAGGTAATAGTTGTGTGATTCTCACACTGCTATCGCGTTCACAGCCAATCAAGTGCTTTTTCTTATCAGGATGGCATGGTTTGTCGCGCGAAGTCACATGTGCGGGGTCATACAATAATGTTTCGCGTTGAAAGTAACATGATCTACTATGGTATTCTCTCGAGCTACGTAGTCAATTGAGTACCAAATACAGCAATGGTCAGGCCTCAGGTATACCAATTGTCGGTGGGCGCCGCATTTGACGGTTTGAGCCCACAGGAAAAGCTCTATGCTCATCACATGGCGAAGTACCACACATGTCCACCCACAAACGCGCAGCGATAACTTCTGACATGTTGCATACAAGGGCTGCCTGGAATGGCACGCGAATTATCCTCCGTCAAGTATCTCCAGAGGCTAATGGCATTTTCAACTTTATAATGGCCCTTTACCATAGCTGTGACGGGAATTGGGAACAACTTGCCACCGAAACTGGAGTCAGCATTCAAGAAATAGAGAATTTCCTGAACTACGCCGCTACATTCCTATCGAATGTTGGCAATTACTTTGTAAGGATTATCCTGGGGCCCCTAAGTGAACATTACCTCATTCGTCTAGGGGTCCGGTGACCAGAAATTCACGCCTGATGTATCCGAGGAGGCTCTTACCTCTCTAGCATCAGTATCTTTGTCGGCGAGTAAACTCCTTGAGCAGATCAAAGACCCAATGATCAGCCCTCTTCCGAGCAGTTTAGGCCACCCTGGACCGTTTACCCAATCATCATATTATTTGGGTGAGAACTGCCTTGAGTCTTCAGAGGATATTGCCACGATATCAAAACTCATGGAGGATCAATCAATCATGCCTGAGAACACTCGACTAAAGATATATCAAGATTCTGAGGCTTGTTGCTATGATATTATGCAAGCATCTGTGGTAGAGGACAAGGTGGCATTGGAAGGATTTGGTGGGTCGGGAGCGTCCGATAAGAAGGCATTTCTGATGAGAGGAGATCACAAAGAAGAACTTGAACGTATTTGTGATTGCCTACAACAAGCCATTCCATATGCGTCAAGTCCTGCTCAAGTGGACATGCTGCGGCAGATAATTGAAAGTTTCCAGACCGGAAGCCTCGAAGCGTACCGCGAATCGCTGAGGATATGGGTGAATGACAAGGCCCCTTCGGTTGAAACAGTCATAGGCTTTGTCGAGCCATATCGCGATCCATTAGGTGTTCGTGCAGAGTTTGAAGGGATAGTCGGAATACCGGATGCTGCCGAAACCAAGATATTGAATACGCTTGCAACCAAAGCGAATCAATTGGTCTACAAACTTCCCTGGGTTGAAGATACCGGTGACAGCAAGGGCCCTTACGAAAAGGAATTATTTGAGCCACCTGATTTCTCAAGCATCAACAGTGAGCCTCCATATGCCCAACCATACCCTGAAGCTGACACGTCTAGGTCTGGTATACTGCTCGAGTATCATTTTCCCAGGAATCAACCTTCCAAACGTCAGTAATCCATCCAAGGTTATTGCATATCACTAACTTCTAGCAGTATATTGACATTCGACAAGATACAGGCTACAAAAACATCATCTTCAGTAACCGCATGGTGTCTGAGAGTAGTCGATCTCGCGGTTTACACATGGTGGACGCATCAGAACAAGACACTTTCAAGAAGCATCGGTTCCATGCCTACTACATCTGGGTCGTGCTGCATGAAATCCTCGGACATGGCACTGGAAGATTCTTGACTGAATCTTCTGATGGTGGTCTCAATTTCGACATTGGAAATCCGCCCCTGGATCCCTTTACTGGAGGACCCGTGGAAAGCTGGTATCGGGCTGGGCAAACATGGACGGGGGTGTTCAACGACCTTGCAACAACAGTGGATGAATGCAGAGCAGAACTCGTCGGCGCTTACTTGATCGACGACCTAGAAATACTGAGCATTTTTGGCTACACAGGCCAAAGCGAGGTCAAGCCCGATGACAGTAAGTCGCCCCGGAGAAGCCAGAAGACTAAAGCTAAGTCTGTTACTTACAGTCGCCTACAACATGTATCTTCAGCTGGGCGTCGATGGACTTCGAGGCCTTGAGAATTACGATCCCACGACCCAAGTAAGTTAAGACATGCCGGATATTGAAGGTAGTGCTAACCGATGACAGAAATGGGGACAAGCACATAGTCGAGTAAGTCTAGTTTACAATCTTGCCATGTTAACGCTCCCCTAACTCCAATTTAGGCACACTATGCCATGTTTCGGCACCTCCTCCGCGACAGTGGCGGTCTCTATAGCGTTACGAGCAATCTAGAGAAGAATAGCTTGACGGTCAAAGTTGACCGATCGCGAGTAATCTCTCATGGCAAACCATCACTGGGTCGCATGCTCTTGAAACTTCATATCTATCGTTGCACCGCTGACGTCTCCAACTGTCGCCGTTTCTATGAGGATCTATCGCATGTTGACGAACAAGCTCTGAAATGGAGAGATATTGTTGTCTCCAAGAAGGATCCTCCTCTGGTGTTTAGCCAGGCCAATACTTACCTTGTCGGTGATGATGTAAAGATAAAGGAATACGAACCCACAGCTCGAGGAGTTGTGCAAAGCTGGGCGGAAAGAAGTATTGAATAGTACTTCCCACTCGGCATATTACTACACAGCCAGAAAACAATTGCACAGAAAGCCTTCAAATGATCGCAAACTTCCCCATTGAACCCACCAAATGCGCCCTGCTGTACAGAACTCTGAGCAAATCGCAAAATTACCTCCAAAACTTTACCCAATTCACAGGATCGCTCTCTTCCATCCAAAGCTGAACCCACGTGCGAGGCGTCGTGGTAGCTAACTGCCTCTGCAAAACGACAATGCGATATATCAAAATTGGTAAGTCCCACGGACGATAATACTTCTGAACAAGCTCAGCCGAAGCCACACGCTCCTTCTTTCCAAATAAATTCACCAATAGCGGGCTTGCCAGAGACACTAGTAGGCTGGAATATACTTGGATTTGGCACATGTACTGCTGGCGGTAAGACGGTCAACTCCGTTTGTTAGATGAGCTTTAAGGCCCTTTGGCTTATACAGTGACACTAGCAGAGTCATTGTTAGATCATTGACTGTCCCAACATGACAAAAAAGCTAATGGATTGCTATTCTTTGTACATACAGGAATTTACTATATGAAAATATCCGTAACTATCATGTAAGTTACAAACATCAGTTCCGAATCAAAACAAAGATTAACCAAGTGTAGTGTAATACATACATAACATTTTGCAGAACAAAAAGAATGAAAACTCAAAATTCTTGTGTCATTATACTGATACGTGTGGAAGATTCCAATCCGCTGCAAATGCCCTATATTCCTGCCTACGCAGGATTGGGTACATTCCACAAAGGCAACATAATCGAGTATGTGCCTACGCATATAAAATAACCTCAGAATCCTGTCGTCTACCTGTCAAGATCATAAACCATCTGATCAAGGCCTTTGTTCGTTTGTCGAAATCTTCTCACCTATCTCGGCATTACTGAAGAGAAAATCTTTAGACATACACCGGACAACACCCAACCCCGACCGAGTCAAAATCATGCCGTACTACGTCTATCTCCAAGAGCACGTCATCGACGAGTTGCAGGAACCCTTCCTACAAAGACACTACCTGGTAACTGCTGCCAATGCCCTTGCGGCCAGTGATTTCCTTGTCGGACTGGGCAAATATGCTGAGGCAAAGGACGGTCGGGTGTATAGTGCTAAGGCGGAGACCATGGAGTGGTGGAACTGTACGGTAACTTCAGCCGGTGACATCCGGTGGATCTACAACGAAATCATGGCCAATAGGCCGGAGAATTACAACAATGTGGAAGAGTTGGCCGATAGCCGTGGTAAAATCATTCTCTGCGAGTTGGACATAGCGAATTGGCCAATTATTCCTGTCATTCAGAACACTTCGCTTGATGATAGGGATCACCAGATCTATTAGATCAGCCACTTTTACCATATGACGAGGATACATTGGCTGATTCGAATGCTGATGGTTGATGGAGTCTTTGTCTTAAGGGGACCCAGAATGGTTTATGGTTACGGTCACGTGGTTGTCGGTTTCCCGAACCTCTTAGCAGAAGCATGTATCAAGTATGACCAGAATGCGAAATAATTATGTCTTTAATATTAAGTGGCCAGAGTAGTCCATCTTCACCCTCCATCATAATGTAGAATCCAGGAAAAAGTTGTTGTAAAGCAGGGGAATGTGGCTACCCCAGATCGAGACCCCACAAGATCTCCCGAGTCGGAGGGAAAGTCGGCAGAGTCAAGGCTGGCCAGGAACCCCGGCGAGTTCACCCGATTTGTCTTGCCGACGCCCGCCCCGCTATCGGAATCGTAAAATACACCCGTCGTTGTGACGGGTTTGCCCCATTGGGCGCTTATCTAATCAATCATCACTGCCGGAGGACCCTGAATTGACTGACGGAAAAGCAGAAAGTAACTAAGAAACAATCCGTGCATTGGGGGATACCGGTAAAATCGGAGAATGTTTGACAAGGCCATCCCGCTCCGATCGCGTGCCTCACATAGCGCTTTTGAGGGGAAAGACTGGGGTGATTTAGACAAGGGGGTTGTGGACACCCCGCAGGCAGAACGTTTCTCCCCCCCACAAGTGTACGAGGCAATACGACCCCAGCGGTCAGGCAGTGGGGTCGGCTTCGGAAGGCGGCAAAGCGATGCTGAAAGTCGGCGGCGGATAATCGCTTTTGTCGGCTGCGCCATTATGTTCACTAGCCGAACGGCGAGCTACGCGATGCTGCAAGAGCCGGTCTGGCCTAGGCTGAGCTTCTTTTTTATCGCTGGCGTTGTCCTTCCTTCTCTCTTTCTCTTCTTTTCTTTCTTTCTTTTCCCCAGTTTTTTTGGATTCCCTCCGCAGATCTCAATTCTTTTGTTTAAGGCTGGCCGACAATCATGTCGCGGCCTGTTCCTGCGGTGTTCCGCCCCATCTGGAGGCGGAATTTCTCCGTCTCAACTGCCAAGCGCGCAATCGATAAACTATGCCCGTCCGCTCAGGAAGCGATCAAGGATATGAAGGGTTCTTCGACCCTTCTCGTTGGTGGTTTCGGTTTCGCTGGTGTCCCTACTACGTTGATTGATGCCGTCCGTGACCGTCCGGACATCAAGGATTTGACTGTCGTCTCCAACAATGCTGGAATGCCCGGTGTTGGTCTCGGTAGGTCTACTCCAGTGCAATTGAACGATCACACTGTTTGTGATTGGTCTAACGGACAATGATAATAGGCCAGCTGCTGGAAAGCAAGCAGATCAGCAAGATGATTGCCTCTTTTATCGGTGAAAACAAGGTCTTCGAGAAAATGTATCTCACTGGTGACCTCTCTCTGGAATTGACCCCCCAGGGTACCATTGCGGAAAAGTGTGCCGCTGGTGCCGCTGGTGTCCCTGCCTTCTATACCCCTGCTGCTTACGGAACAATTGGTACGCATACTTCAATGGCTGTCTATGTCCCGGACTTAGACTAATTATTCGGTTGTGTAGTGCAATCTGGTGAACTCCCCGTTCGTTACAACAAGGACGGTAGCGTCGCTATCAAGAACGCCCCCAAGGAAGAACGCGAATTCAACGGAAAGAAATACATCCTGGAAGAATCGATTTTCGGTGACTACGCCCTGGTTAAGGTCCACAAGGCCGACAAGCTCGGTAACTGCCAGTTCCGCAAGTCCATGAACAACTTCAACGAGGCCATGGCCAAGAACGCCAAGTACACCATCGTCGAGGCCGACCACATCGTCGAAGTTGGCGAGATTGACCCCGAAAGCATCCACCTCCAGGGCATCTATGTCAACAAGGTCATCCAGAGCACCGGCGAGAAGAAGATCGAGAAGCTCACTTTCGCCAAGGACCCCAACGAGATGCTCCAGGCTGGTTAGTACTTAGTCCAAGCCCGAGTTCATAGCGCAAGTTTGCTAACATGTGTCGGTGTTGTAGGTTCCGGTGAGGCCACCATCCGTCGTGAACGTATCGTCAAGCGTGCCGCCAAGGAATTCAAGGACGGCATGTACGTCAACCTTGGTATCGGAATGCCCCTGATTGCTCCCGCCTACGTCGAGGAGGGTGTTGAGGTCGTCCTCCAGGCCGAGAACGGTATCCTGGGTCTGGGTGGCTACCCCAAGCCCGGTGAGGAGGACCCCGACTTGATCAACCCCGGCAAGGAGACCGTCACCCTGGGTCGCGGTGCTTCTGTTTTCGGTTCCCACGAGAGTTTCGGTATGATCCGCTCTGGCCGCATTGACCTGACCATGCTTGGTGCTCTCCAGGTCAGCCAGTACGGAGGTAAGCTCAGCACCTTTCACCACAAACTCATAATAAACAATACTAATCCTTGACTTCAGATCTCGCCAACTTCATGCTTCCCGGTAAGGTTAAGGGTATGGGCGGTGCCATGGACCTCGTTTCCAACCCCGAGAAGACCAAGGTCGTCGTCACCATGGTGAGTCACCCTCTACTTATACCACCACAAGTACATTTGAATGTCCACCACTAACATAGTTTTAAATAGGAACACACCGACAAGAAGGGCAACCCCAAGATCCTCCCCGAGTGCAGCTTCCCCCTGACCGGACCCCGCTGCGTGTGGAAGATCATCACCGATCTGGCCGTCTTCGAAGTCAGCCCCACCGAGGGTCTGACTCTTGCCGAGTACGCCGAGGGCGTGACTGTCGAGGAGATCCGCAGCAAGACTGCCGCTCCTTTCAAGGTTTCTGCTGATCTGAAGCCTATGCTGTAAATTTATTATTATTATACCACTTTTTTTGATGCATAAGTATGATGGTTGTTTATAGATTGTGATTGATTGGTTGTTGTATATAAACGTTGATGTTGATGACTGGTTTGGTTGGATAAAAAGGGAAATTCAAAACTAGATTCATGATATACACTACACTCATTATTCCTTAAAACATAAAACATACACAGACCCCAATACAATACAATACATCACTGATGGATGGCAAACGACAGAGAAAGAGGAGGGAGATTATCAATGTGTCGTCTTCGACCTATTAACCGACCCTGTGGTCCCCTTCCGCGTCCCCTCAACAGGATTCGGCGCAGTACCGGTATTCATCCTCCTAGCGGCAGCGACATTCGGGGCCTTGAAGGCAATATCATTCTGTTCGCGGTATTCCTCTTCCTCTTCCTCTTGCTGTTCGTGCCAGGCATTCTCGTAGTCGTCGATGGGGAGGTCGTCGTCGCGGACAGCGCCGTGGACTTTCTTCGGTTGCGGGGGTGGGGAGGCGACTGGTTTGGAGGGCATTTTGGATGAGCAGAGGAGATTGACTAGATTGGTTTATTGGAGGTGATTATTGGCCTTATGAAGGATGTTCTGTAGACTTATGATTGCGAGATGAAGTTGGGATGTGATGGATTGGTAATGGGGAAAAAGGTTGGTTTAAATAGCCAGGTATATCAGGAGTTATTGGGTAGCGTAGGTTTGAAGAAGCGTTATGATGAGGTCATGCATTATAAAGTATCATTGTATTTGGTATGATTGGATTTAGTTCGAATGGTTCCACAAAAGATGCCAGGTTTGTGCACATGATTGCTTGGGTGATATGCTGTGTGGTAA